GGTGGTCACCTGAGGATGACTCCTAATGGTGGTCACCTGAGGATGACCCTTGTTTCTGAGTGAAATGTCTCAGCAACTGTTGGATGGATTGAAATTAAATTTCGTATACAAATTCATGTCCCCTTCAGGATTAACTGATGCAGCTTTTGTGATCCCTTGACTTTTCATCTAGTGCCACCATCAGGTCAAAATTTCCATTTGTCCAATACTTTTATGATGACTTAATATCTGCGAAGCTGATTACATTCCTACCAGACTCATCAACTTTGTGTTTGGTGCTAATGATCACATCTTTGCATACTAACACGCTAAACAGAACTGGTGAACATTTAACATTATACCTGCTTGACAATCAGTATGTTAGCATTGCCAGCTAGCATTAGGATATGCCTCAGAGCAGTGCTGTGAAATACAGCCTCCCTGAGCCACCAGTATGTGAATGAATGAAACAAACCGCTGTCTATTCAAAAACTCTATCGATCCATTTAAAGGGCATTAAATTAGTTGCAGAATATCTCGCCCTTATCAGGTTTTGTCATTCTGTCAGTCATGACAGCTATTATCCATGAAAAGGTGCATTAATGTGCTGTAATCTTCTGCCGTGTGTCATTTTAGTAAGTAAATCAGTTTTTAAATGGTGGCAGTCTCATCTTGGAACAAAACTGTTTCTCAGCGGGGTCTTGAAAAGAAGAAAGACACTTCTTTTTGAATCGTGTGTGCGCCCACGTGTAGCGTGTGCTACTTAGGTATTTTTCTCGGGAAACAACCCAGACCAACTGAGATACAAGAGCAAATGGGCATGAGTTGTTGCTCTTTGTGTCATCTCTGCCTCCACCACTCCAGCCGAGACTGAATCAGTATTGTGTGAGAGCAGGATCCCTCACATTCCCCCGAGGCTTTTACAAGAGAAGGACAAAACAAGAGAAAAGAAGAAGATGATAGAGAGGAGGGGGAGGACACCAACAAAAGCCCAGAGCTACGTAAGAGTCTAACTCCAGTACTGTTCCCTTTGGAGATACTCCAGAGCAGAAACAAAGATGAAGTACTTTTTCCACCACAGGGATGTCTACCCTGAAAAGCAGACCTTGCCACGATACATTTCGCTCCCAAATCCCTTGATGCAGAAAAGCTTTCACAGTATCAAAGAAAAGAAGGTTTTTCTGTTGTCATCAGCATCATTCAGAGAGATCAAAGGTAACAGGGTCTCCAGGTAACCGCAGACATAAACCGCCTTGTTATTGATGTTATTGCTCAGAAGTGGAGAAGCGATCAGCAATTTGCTGTTGATGTTGCGACCCTGCTTTACATGAAAACTGACTGCTTTCA